ACTCTGTGTGGTTATGAAACTTACTATTTCCTTAAGATTTCTTTTAAAATTAAATTGTTGCAGCAAGTGTTTTTTTTTAAATAGCCACAGTGTCTATTGAATGATCTGCTTGCAAATAAATTAGTGCATGTGTGTAGAGACACAAAATAAACCATAATTGGGACTCGTGTGTTTTGAAGTAACTCCTTGCTGTGGCACTCCATTTTCACAAGGAAGAATACTAAGTGTATATCTACACAAAGATAAAATATCTGTGTCACGGCCATGGTTGGCCCAGCTGCAGGTAGCCTGGCTCAACTGATTTGGGCTCATGGAGCTTGAGATGTGGAGCTAAAAACGTCACGGCCATGGTTGGCCCAGCTGCAGCTAGCCTGGCTCAACTGACTTGGGCTCATGGAGCTTGGGATGTGGAGCTAAAAATTGCTGTGGGTGTGAGCTTGCAGGGTCTCAGAGCTAGGGCTCCAGCCCAGGCCCAAACATTTACACAGCATTTTTTTTTCAGCCCCACACCCAGAGTCCTGAAAGCTCAAATCAGCTGTCCTGGGATAGCTGTGGGAGGTATTATTTTTATCTCTGTATAGATGTACCCTAAGGGTACACCTACATTTCAGCCACTATAACCAAACAACAATGCTGTTGCAGCAGTGGGGCTGCAGTGCAATAGTGAACACACTCTCTACATGAACCAAAGAAAATTTTATGCAGGTTGCACTTCCTGGTCCAGCACTCTCGGGACTGGTCACCAGGGAATTTGCCAGACCAGGGGAGGTCAATGCTGGCTGCAGCTGTCCTAGCTGGGAGGCTCCACTCCAGCAGCAGTGCGGGGGGAGGGTAGGTGGGCAGTACTGATGGAGTAGGGATGCGGGTGGGGCTTGGGGGAAGAGCAGAGCCCAGTGGCTGGGGACTGGGAGTGCAGCCCCACAGCTGGTGGTGGAACCCCACAGCCGCCAGGCTGAGATCCTGGTACCTGGTGGCTAGTCATGGGGCTCCATTCCAGGTCCGTGGCCTCAGTGCTCCACAGCCTCCCCGTCTCTTCCTCAATCCCTGCTTCTTCCCTGAGGTTGAATGGGGCAAATCAGCTATATGGAAGTGCTGGGTGGGTGGAGGAGGAGTTGCTAAGCAGAGGGCTCCTGGATTTTCCCTGTGAGTGCTTGAGCCACAGAGCACCTATGGATGCTGGATTTGCTAGATGAGGAAAGTCCAAATTCTAGAGGTTCAACCTGTATTAAACTCATTAATCCACCTCAAACAGGTGGCAGCTTGGCTGACAGAAAAATTCTTTTGTCAACCTAGCTGTATCCACAGGGGAGAGAGAGGTCATCCTCACTAGAAAGTGCAACATAGTTGGGCTCTAATTTTTACATGTAGCCCTGGCCTAAGAGAATTAATCTATGTCCTCACACCAAAAAACCAAAACCAACCCCTTAAACAGGTTTTTGGTAAGTGATCTTATGACATCTTTATAAGGCCTACTAGGTCTTGAACCCAGGAATAGGAAGCTGACAGGCAGCACTCTGTTGCCACTAAGCAGCAATAAGTGGCTTGAATTCCACTGCCCATGACCCACGGTGGATACAGTCTAGGGATGTAGAATCTCATTTAAAGTGTTAACTGGTTAAACTGCATGTTTAACCAGATAACCTGCCCATCATGCCACGAGTGGGAGGGTGCTCCACTTGGGCTGGGCAGCAATTAACCGGTTACCCCAGTAAGCATGTCAGTAAGGCAATAATTATCAGTTGACCGTTTGACCCTTTATCCCTAATACAATCCAGAGGAAGCTCTACATCAAGGAGTCTGACAATCAGCAGCTGCATGGCTCCCCACCCTTTATATAGTCCATGAATTGCCCAGGTAACAGTGTGGATCTCACGTAGTTGGATCTCATTTAGTTTCTGCTCCCTTTCTTTGACCCTAGCTTGATTTACACTTCGCCTCCTGACTTGGACTCTGAAACCTGATTCTGACGCTTGGTATCAATCCTAATGCGGAATTTGATTCTGAACATTGTTGTTCCTCTGACTCCAGCTTGACCCTGTTCTGACCCTTGATCCTGACACTTTTGCCAGCTCTTTCAAATGTCTGATTTGGTAGCAAAAGTCTGCATGGCCTAGTTTATGCAACTTGAATCAATTATTTGTGTACTGGAGCAAAAGCACATGCACGCACGTGCCCCAAAATTGCAAGGATGAGAGCAGTCTATCCAAATTACAT